ATAAATAAATAATTAAATAAATAAATAAATAAATAAATATAGAGGTGAGAAATAACAGATCTCAACCCTATTGTCCCTCTGCAAATTTATGTACAGAGTCAATCCCTTACTTCTCTCTAAAAGTGCAAAGTTTCAGAAAGTTCAATGAATAAAAGATTGTTGCTGGCGGAATAGATCGGGACAAGGAGAAGAAGTCTAGAGATAAATGTGAGAAGGGAGGGACAGGCAGTAGAAACAAAAGTGAAACTGTTTGAGCAGCATATTCCAGAAGTCTGAGTGTAGTTTTGTCTTAGAAGTCTTGAGGTCTGACTTATTTTGTTTAGGAGAATCTATCCTCAACATACAGGATTCTGAAGACTATCCACCTTCAAAATCACCATCATTTTCTATAGTTTCAGACACCAATGATAGTGCTTCAGTCACATCATATATGTCACTGAGTCACAGTATATTAGCTGTAGCAAAAAAAAAAATCTCCACCATCAGAAACAACCATATACAAGTTTGTGATAAGAACCAGCAGATTACAAAAAAAGCTAACTGATGAAAGAATTGCCCGGTTTGTTTATGCAACAAAAACTCTCCTTTCCGTATGACTGAAAACCCACACTTCATTAACATGGTTCAGTCATTAAGACCAGAATACAGTCCACCCAACAGAGCAGATGTCGCAGGCAAATTGCTGGATAAAGTGTATGAAAGAGAAATTGAGCAGTGTGCAAAAGGTCTAGAGGGTAAAATTGTTAACCTGAGTCTTGATGGGTGGAGCAATGTCCACAATGATCCTGTTGTATGCGCTTGTGTGACAACTGAAGAAGAGAATGTCTTCCTTACAGAAACAATTGATACATCAGGAAATGCACACACAGAATACTTACAAGAAGTAGCAGTATAAGCTATAACAAACTGTGGAGAAAAATATATATCAAATGTCTAGTACGCAGCTTGGTCACAGACAAAGCTGCAAATGTATCCAAGATGAGAAGAAATTTAGAAGAGTCCCAAGCTAATAACATACGGATGTAGTGCTCATTTGATGCAGCTCCTAGCCAAAGACTTCAGTGTTCCAGAAACAAAGGCGAATATTGTTGAAATTGCAAAATACTTCTGTAACAACCACTTTGCAGCAGCTACTCTGAAAAAAATGGGAGGAACCAAGCTAACTTTCCCACAAGGCGTGC